TATAGAGGATTGACCGCACAAGCTTAGGCAACCGGGGGGAGAGGAGTGAAGGGGACATCGGGGTACTGTCCAAGTTCGAGCTGGATACCGCCCTGGATGAGGTCAAAGAGACGGTGGCCCTTCTCAGAGTATCCAGGAACGTACTCGTCACCGAAGACGGAGATGAAGGTGTTGTAGGTGGTCTCGGGGTCCTTGGCGGCAAAACGAGTGAAGGTATCGTTGGTGCCACGGAACAGGGTGCTGTTGGTGAAGTTACCCTGGACGCTGTCGTAAAACTGCTCAGGGATGAGGGGAGACCGCGGCTGGGGGAACTCGAAGCCAACAGACTTGACGATCCACTGGGTGTCGATGTTCTTGAAGTCGGGGACACCGATGATGGCCTGGAGGGCGATACCATCATACAGCTTCTCGAGACGAGCGGCGTCCCACTTAGCGCCGCCAGGGTGGTTCTTGACGAAGTTGACGGCGGCGACACCGCTGTCGACCTCGAAACGATAGGCATGGCTGTTATAGGTGGAGTTTTCACGCTCTAAAAACTCTAGTTAGAATAGCGAGTTCAAGAGTTATAGAAATACTTACGGTCCCAAGCAAGATCATGCAGGAGAGAGCCAACGGCGTGGAGCTCCAGGTCGATCTCAGACTTCAGGGTGGCGTTGTTGTTCAACGCAGCAGCACCGAGAAGCCATGTTCGGACGACGTGGTTGTAGAGGTAGGGTTGAAGAGGAATGAAGCCCTTGACGAGCTCGTGAGCGTCACGGACAAGCTGGGTGTCAACAACCTCGACACCAGCAATGGTGGTGGTGGGGAGCTCAGCAGAGCAGGTGCGCTTGGGAGCGGCCAATGTGGCGCCGGCAACGGCCAGGGTAGAAACGACTCCAGTTGAGAACTTCATTGTGAACAATTAAGATGAGACCGAACAAGGAATTGCTAGGAGAAGCGAATGGATAAACAGGCGAATGAAGGAATGAATGTGGTTGGAGGGGTGGGGAGAGAAAAAGAAGAAGCACTAGTCACGAGGCGTTGGATAGCTTTATATATCCAATTCGCCTCGCAGCTCAGCTCGTTCCATCGGTTCGCAGCCATGCCGGCCGCCCATCAACGGCTCCGGAGACTTTGGTAATTCTGGATTGCTTTACGAAAAAGGGTATGGGAACAGGGTTGGAGTGTACATTTCACCCAAAATAGAAGCTCTAGTGTCTCTTGTGGATAAGGCTGACTGTCCTTCACAAGCAGACTGTGGAGGTGCCGACTGGCATCTTAGTGTACCTTGGCGCATCCAATTCGACTATGATCGGCCGCAGTATCGGCGAATCCTATCATGTACACTATGCAGATGGTGCGAATCCTTGCCCTAGTTTGGAGCTGAGTTGTCTGCCATCTGTAGTGTATACCAGGGAAATGAGATGAAATTAAAAGCCAAGTTCACATTGTTTATAGTACATACTAGTGTAGACAAAGTAGTGTACATTATTAATCCGTAGCGTTTTCTCGTTGGATGCATGTGGCGTATGGAGGTACATGCTTTGAACGTAGTGTACTATAGATCTTCAAAGTACACTTGGAAGCACACTTTCAAGCACACCACGGTGTTGTATAGCCCCAATCGCGGTCATGGCGGAACACCAGGGCCCCTGAATCGAAGGCTTTTTGCGCCGCCTCTGCGCATGTTACTACCGAAAGATGACATAAGATGCCAAGATCTAGAGCCTAAATAAGCTTAGTCCAGCATGTAAAATATTTCAAGGTCTGTGTTTTGCTTTGTTTCAGTGGGAATCCAAGTATGCAGCAGTGTGCTTATACTATGAGTGTGCGCAGCTTGGGATTCATCAACTACGTAGCAGTTGGGTGTAAAATGATTCAAGGGAAGTTGTTGTTAACACACTCTGCACATAGTAGAAACGATACTATGTACAAGTCCAAGCTAGGGTATACCTAACACAACTTAGTGTCAACAGTAAAATCTTCTTTATTCTGACAACTACACTAGGTATACCAAGACAATTTTGGCGGGTATATACTACTATAGTAGCTTGACCATCGCTCTTGTTGCTGGAGGAGGAGGAGGTCTGGAGGAGGGTAAGCTACCAACCTGGGCAGTACCTGGGCATTGCCACGATGATTACCATACTGTGGGAACTACACTAGTGCAGGCTAATTAATGCAGGCCACCACAATTGGCATTCTCTTCCAAGACCCCTCAGCAGACGCCCCTTTTTTTGTAGGATTTGTATCGTAGATGCATAACCATAATTTTAAAGTGAACGAAAGGTCACCTCATCCGTCTGGCAGGGGCCGCAGTGGGGTTTTGAACTTGGAGATGCCGTTTCTCAACGGCCTCGAAGGCGACTGTAGTGTCAACGCATGGAATTTCTTCTTCTGCATAACATGTCTTGTCTCTTTAGGACTGACTGGGTGCCTGTCAATACGATGTACTTACTGTAGGAATTTCATTGCCAATACACTAGTGTAGTCGTCATCCTGGGCAATGACGCCTCCATCCATTCACAAGACTGTGAGATGGTGACCCAATCATCGGTATTGCATATTTGCATAGTGCTTGAACACACTGCTACACTACTACGGTAGTAGTAACGCCCCCAAGTTCTCCAAAGTCTTGTCACTTAGTCGCACGGATAGATCCATCACTGGTGGCGAATGTGATAGTTAGTAGATCATGATTACTTACGGTTGTACCTAGCGTAATAGTGTGGGTAGACCGACGTTACCGTGTCGTCTTGGTGGTCTTCGCGTCGCCCAAAGAGGAATGAGTTCGTTCCCATTTTTAGTCATCCTCATTCGATTTGACATATGAGTGGACTTCGCCTAAGACTAGTATGTACCGGGTTTTGACACTACGATTCGACGTGTTAAATCGTCCGGTCAAAGATGAATCGGTGGATGCTGTTCGGATTCTAACCCTCTCGCAAAAGGTGACTAGAACGCCCAGGACTTTCTGCCAAGAGCCAAGCGAACAAGAGCTGACATTGGACAGTCAGCGACGAAGTAACAAGCCTAGTCGTTGGGAAAGACGTCAATAGGCACTGGAAATTCGCAAGGGCGGTCGGCTCATTTTGTCGGTTTTCCTGTTTCGCATCGCATCGAGTAACTCCGCCAATTGCTCTAACCTTCGCATCCCTACATCCTCTTCTGTTCGTCCCTCATTACTACATACTGTAATTTCAACGTCGTGTGTACCCTGGCAAACTCAGGTAGTCATCGTGTCATCGTTGGCCAAGTTGCTGCGCTGATATTGTTGTCGCCTATAATATCCGGAGCAACCCTCGTTGGGAACTGATGATAATACGGTTTTTACCGAAGGAGATATTGGTTGCTTTACCTCTGCGCCTTGTATATTAACGTTCGTAATTGTGCGTTATGCGTTCGCACATTCATTCTTGGTGTTTTCGTATGCATCATCAGCTATAGCTTCGTACTATTCCTCTTAAGCTCAGTCTATGTTAGGTTCAGGAGATGATGGTACTCGGTCCTTGCTTTCAACGGCCTTGTTCGCAAAAGCAGTCAGATTTTTGGTATTTGGGTCATGATCCGAAATGTCCCATGTCCTTTCATGGCTTGGCTATGGATGAATCGATACGGCCGGCACCTTGCATTGCTGAAATGTGTTTCTGGGTAACGGGGAATAAGATGAAGGTATGGTTTTTCTAAGCACCATTGTTAATAAGTATTCATCGATCTCACGTTTCTTAGGGAAGTTTATTTACGGGATAGCAGCTGTGAGTGTCATCTGCAATGATATCGAGTTGTATGACATGTGTACTCTCAAACAGCCTTGTCGGAAAAGCTCGTGATGTATCACGTTGGACTTATGTATCGCGCATCGGCAATGCTTTGCTGATCAGAACCGTAGGTTATAAGTGAATGAATACGGTCATTCACCTTCAATGGACATGGTGTTCGAAGAATGACCCCTTTCTTTCATTTCATGGCCAAGTTTCCGTTCCTACCTGCACGAGCCACGAGAAAGCATGTTTTAATATCCAAAGCGCAGGAATACCAGTTCTCATAGTGAGCCTTTGGCCGTGGACTGGTGTCGTGGAGGCCTGATACTATCGCCGTCGCTGCTCTGGCATCCCCTATTCCTTTTAATATCTGAAAAAAAGGCCAGCTCTAGAAGTAATAAGGTCGGTCCTACAAAACTCGGCTGTAACATAAGCTGTTTTAATACGGGCGACTCTTTCGACGGGGGCAATAGTGGTGTTATAAAGGAAGAGCGCCTTACTGTTTTGTTATGGAGGCATAGGCTTATATGCTGTTATTTTTAGGGCAATCGAAGGACTTCTGCGGCGCAGAGCGGCGCATACATCAGCATGATATCAAATAATTGGTGTTCGACCAGGTGGCCAGCCGGGTAGCCATCCGGGTAGCCATCCGGGTTGGTGTACCGTAGGGCTGTTCCTATTTGATTATACGGCGTCAGCTGGCCAATGTGGTTGCTGCATCGAAGCGAACCAAACACAATCGGCCATTATCCCTGCTTGGTTACTTGATATACGGTTAGGACGGGTTCTGTTTGTCGTCTGTGTATTACTGTGATGCACAAGTCATTCCATTCTATCCATAAGCCGATTAAATCTTGGGAGCTTGAATCATCCTTAACACTACCGAATCGCGCAACTATATAGTGGTATTCTCGTATCCCGAGCCAGACCTTAACTGCAGGCACCTAAGATAATGCTGTGTTCAGTAAATACGTGAACGATAGTTTAGTGGACTAGGCGAGGGGTGGTACTAGGTTACATAAGAATGCTAAACAGAGCTTCTAGGTGCTAAATCTAGTTACAGTAGTTTCTTTCTCTTCTTCTCTATGCGTATAATTGTTAAACTGTGATCATGTTATTAAATTTACAACCCAAGTATTATATAACAAACGTAGTTATTTTAGCACAAAGGTGCCATTGCTTATTAAGTTTAGGGTATGTGTTAAATATTAAAAAATAAAGAAAAAATAACGAGCATACAAGCTGTATAACGCAAGTTAATGGACGAACGGGGAATTGAACCCCGGACCCCTCCCAAGCATTTGTTCTCTAGAGTCAGAGATGCGAAGGGAGTATCATACCCCTAGACCATTCGCCCTTCAACGAAAGATCTGATCGATCGTCATGTGACTGCTGGATCTTAGGTCTTAGGCCTGGATTATGTAAGACCAGCATTACACACAGGTACCTAGGTACGCTACAACGTCAAAGCTTATCGTGTTGCAGATCCCCATTTCCAAGCCAAGTTTCTAACTTGACATCTGGTCTTACTTTATCGACATGCTACCACCCACTCTTGAACAATCTGTTAGACAACACAATTAATTTGAATGAAAAGTTGTTACGGTCAATGCCGTGTCAATGGCTCCTAATAACGGCGCGGCATTAACAGGCGTTTGGTAAGCTTCACTTCAACCACTCCAAACCTTACCATAGGTTACAATGAGAAACAATCCCGCTAACTAAGAGACAAGGTTCTTGGCATCGTTTGCTTGGCTATCGTATTCCTTGCAAAGACACACCTTAATCAGTACCTATTCAACTTCATCTTGTCCAAGCATATATGCTAACTAAAATCCTCAGATCAACCACGTCTCTCATCCTTTTTGCTACTTCTTATTTCTGGTTCGTCGGCTTTTTTCGCGAGTCTCTTTTCAAGATGGCTTCCAGGAGCCGATGGAAGATTTGGTTTGTTTATTCATTCCTATTCGCTTAAAGATGATGATCGCAATTAACATTATTGATAGATTCCGACACGGTCTTCAAGGCATCATCGTCGTCCTTGCCTCCGAGACCACGTCGATTCTATGTACCCTGTATTATTATCCTCATCATTCTTAGACTTGAGCTTTCTTATAGAGGTTTGCATGATTTTCAATGTGCTACTCCCGGTGTTGAAGTAAGTATCCTACCACGAAGCCGGCAAGCCTCTCAGCTAACTCTGTCTAACAGGCATTTTTGCCACTCCTATTAGTTACTTATAGGTTCCTCTCGTACCGTACGCCGCAGGTAGAGTTAGACGAGCCTGAAGATATGTGGGGAAGCGTATATGAAGACTTTAAGATTTGGCTCACAGGTTCGCCCTTTATGTTGCTTCTCGGAACTATCCTCCTTAGCTATGGAACTTTTTTAGCCAGTGACTTTACAATGCGATCTACATACTTCTGCTCATCTCTAGCAGATCGAGGGTCGTTTACAGTATTCATCCAATTGGCTGGTCTTTTCACGGAAGCAACCATCATTGTTCTTTCATGGAGAGTGCTCTCCAGGGCACGAACAACTCGAAGTCGGCTGCGCACCCTTGGTGTTATTTTATTAATCACCTCATTCGTGACGTGCATTCCGTTACTTCTGACGCAGTTTTCACGGCGTGGCGAAGTCGTTGGTCATCAATCCCTTAGAGGCGTCAGCCCTCTTTACGTATTCGACACTTTGGTTACCGGCACAGTTGTGGCTACCCTGATCATTTCTGCATCCCTGATAATTTGCGATACTTCGCCGCTTGAGCCCGTTGCTGTTGCTACCTTTGTATCCGGCGTCTTGGCTAGCGTTAGTGGCGTGCTTCTGGTTGGCACGTACCAGCAAACATCTGCAGCACATCCGCTACTCGTATTTGGAATAATTTCACTCGGATTTACGGTTTTCATATATGCAAACAATATGCGTTCGATCCTTTTCGTAAGACGCGCCTTTTTCCTCCTACTACTCCTGATTTTACTGGTCTCTTCGGCCATCCACGTCTCCATAACGCAAACCACGTTCACCCGTCATCCTGTTGATGACCTGGTGTACCAACACCGGATTGATGAGGATCGGTGGTTACGGCATGCAACAGTTAGCACAACGTTGAAGCTCGCAGTAAAAGAATACGAAGAAAGACACCACGGACGTAAGCCTCCTCGAAATTTTGATAAATGGTTTGAGTTCGCTCGGCAGAGGAAATCGGTCGTAATCGACATGTTCGACCAGATAGAGAAAGACATAATGCCGTTCTGGGGCCTACGACCGCAATATATTCGGGATGGCCTTGAGTTCCTCAGGGGCCAGCCTGATATTGGTATCATACACATTGCCGATAGCAAAGCGTCCCATAATAGCCCAGCTGATCTTTCCCACCAACAAATACTCGATGAGATCGTGGCTCTAATTTCTGACTTCGCCAGGCATCTCCCGGCGATGGAGATCGCCGTAAATCTACGGGAACGGCCAAGAGTTCTGGTTCCTTGGAACGAGATACACCAGTTAAGAACGAAAGATAGCCAACCAGGTTTCCAGCTTGTCTCAGGTCGATTAGGTAAACGGGAGAATCCCGACAAGAATATCGGCACTAACAAGCGAATGGGGCCATCAGACTCAGCCCGGCCCTATATTGCGACCGGTCGGTTTCGACAACTTCAGGCCCTTGCTTGTCCTCCTGGATCATCGAGTCGTATTGGCGTCAATTGGGACGTAAGGGATTTCTGTGCTTCGTGTACCTCACCTCACAGTAAGGAGCAGTTCCTCAAGGATTGGCAAGTGGCACTCGACCCGTGTCATCAGCCGGATATCTCAAATCTTCACGACTTTTACACCATTCCCCATAGATTCGAACTCTATCAGGATTTACTACCCCTATTCAGCGGGTCCAAAACGGCCAGTTTCAGCGATCTTTTGATACCCTTTTCACGAGGTGGGATGCAACAAGACCATGACGGCAAAACCTTCAATCAGAAGCAAGACGTTGTTTTGTGGCAAGGTGATGTCGAAGACATCCCCGAAGCAACTCACGAGCTGCTTCATGGTAGCCATCGGCTACGTTTGGTACACCTCGTGCAGAATGCCACAGCTACGGACAAGATCCCCATGCTACTAGGAATAGGAACAGGCAAAAATAGCAGGTTTCGATACGAAGATGTACCCATTATAGAGGGAAACAGTATTTTGCCTTTCCAAATCTCACTGACCGGGCCGGCTGCGGGTTGTAAAGACGCGAAGTGCGAGTTTATGCGGAACGAGTTCGGATTAGAGCCGCCGATGACCGAAGTGGACGGTCGTTATGTAATGGTGCTAGACACGGCTGATGGGCCTTCGCCAAATTTGTTACCGGTTTTACGGTCAAATAGCGTGCCAATCCTTTCTTCCATATTCCAGCAATGGTTCACAGAACGGCTGATGCCTTGGGCGCATTTCATTCCCATCGACACACGATATCACGCCTTACATAGCACGATGTCATACTTTATTGGCTTAGACGGACGTGGCACGCTCAATGGGCGAAAGCAGGTTACGCCAGGGCGAACAGAGGATGCGAGATGGATTGCTCAGCAAGGCCGAAAATGGGCCGAGAAGGCGATAAGGAGAGAAGATATGGAAGTTTATTTGTTTAGGTTGTTATTAGAATGGGGACGGATAATTGATGACAATCGGGACAGTATGGACTTTATACTCGAAGGATAGGGGGGATGATTCCCATGTATACTAAGTAAAGAATACACTAACCTAATAGGTATTATAGATATGTGTTGATGTTTAGATTCAGGTACCTGCAGTTAAGTACCTAAGTAGTGAGATCCCTAACCCAGGAACAAAATGTACCTCGACGGACAAACAGAAACATAATGATGGATTGAAAAATAAAGGACGTAGGTAGGTACATTAGGTACTTAGGTACTTATTTTCTCACCATTTTAAGCATTTCTCCGTAATATGCATACGGTATAGTCATAAGGAGGCGTGACGTATGCTTAGGTAACCAACCTAACTTTACTGTAAGATAGCTTGCTGATGCGGCAATGAGGCTCCTTCCCCACCAATCCCAGCTTCCCACAGCCAACGTCCCAGTCTATCCTACAAACCGAACAACCGAACAAGCTTCATTACGCAGTCTCACCCATGGACTAATCAATCGCCTATGTGGTCCTCTGCGAAATAAAAATAAAAGCTACAGATATCCTCTTACAAAGATACAACAATACAGTGTGGCCGTTGCACAACTAAGGAATCAATACGTAACATAGCATAACCTGAACATACAATACACACATCTTCCAAGTCTCGCACAATGGCCGTCATCGACCAGGACAACTTCTCCAATATCTCGTGGCAAATCGAGACCAATAATGGTGTTGGCGCTGCCGAGCCGAGTGCTTCTATGCCCAACATAGAAGCTGAGCCGCCGAGCACCGAGGACCAACATCATGGTCAAGATCTACAGCGCCAGGATCCCGGTCTATCCGGCGATATACTAGAGTGTACTGTTTCGGAGCCTCGGAAAGAAAGCGATGGTACCAAAGACGCCTTTGTGTCATATCTAATAACTACAAATGTGAGTGCGCCGCTGAGTTGCGCAAGAGACACGCCCGCCATCTCTCCGAGGACTCATGACTAACCTGCGATGGATGCAGTCGACATTTCCTTCCTTCCAGAAACCAACATTTACATCCCGCCGACGCTTCACCGACTTCCTTTTTCTCTCCAAGACTCTGTCTAAAGACTATCCAGCATGTGCCGTTCCTCCCTTACCCGACAAACAGCGTATGGAGTATGTCCGAGGGGATAGGTTTGGCCCAGATTTCACAAACCGCCGAGCATATTCGCTCCAGCGTTTCCTATCACGCATAACCCTCCATCCGATTTTGCGGCGCGCCCCCATTCTCCACACCTTCCTCGAGTCCCCTGACTGGAATGCCACAATGCGGTCTCGCGCCGGTAGGACAAGCATTGCGTCCGATCAGGGGAGTGGCGGTGTATTCGACAACTTTGCCGATACCTTCATCAACGCTTTTACAAAGGTACATAAGCATGACAAACGGTTTATCGAGGTGCGGGAGAAGAGTGATAAGCTAGACGAGGATCTCGCCCAGGTGGAGAAGGTTGTGGCCCGCGTCGTGCGGCGTGAAACCGATCTGGAAACTGACCTACGAGATCTTACAGAGCAGTTCCAAAAACTCGTCACACTGGAACCCGGCGTTGAATCCGCGGTACATGGTTTCGCTGCCAGCATTGAGGACTCGGCAACAGGGTTGAGGAAACTGCGCGAGCATACAGACCAAGATTATCTTGGTAGCTTACGAGACATGCAGGCATATAGCCTCGCACTAAAAAATCTACTTAAAGCAC